GCTCTGTGCTGACAACTCAGAACCTGAAGCCTGCTTTGGATTCTGTGTCTCTCTCTCTCTGCCCCTCCCCCATTCTTACACTCTGTCTACCTCGAAAATAAACATTAAAAAAAATTCTTTAAATAAAAAAACAAGAACAAAAAGGCACAAAGAGACTACACTGCTCGAATTTGATCCATGTGGACAACAGTGGGCATCCTCCTTCATTCATTCATAAATACGAGCACCCATTATGATTAGGGTGATGTCATGTAGTGATCAACAGGCAGCTAAGGCCTCTGTCCTCACAGCCTGGAAAGGAGCCACAAAGCTCTGCACACACACACTAGATTTTTCTCTAAGTTTGTTTCACAAGTCATGAAGCTGCTCAAAAAGATATGACTGAAATCTCGTGAATGCCTATCCTCTCATTTTTTTTTTTTGAATGAACATCTCCTTGATTCATAATTCTCTTTTCTCGAACTATGTAAGAGAGAGATTATCTACGTAATTGTCACAAGTATTCTCCACATATTCATAAGGATCCAGCTCTGGGAAATAAATTTTGCAAAATGATACTTCTCAGCATAGCACCAGGGTTTACTTACGTTTTGCATAAGAATTGCCAAGAGGAAGCTAATTAATATACTAAATACTCTTTCCTATTTATAGATACTGGCCCAAATTGGGTTTTCAGTTGACATGTATACAGAACTCTGACATATACGTGTTCTTCTCTCCTGTCTACCTTAAAAACCTCTTTGAGCCAACTTCTAAATTCCTTCTCATTTTGATGACCATGTATCCATAAGGGGAACTTGACGTGCACTTAATTCAGGCTGTTGAGCATTCAGCTTCATCTTAGGGGGAGGAGTAGAGTAGCATTATCGTGAGTAGCATTTCTAGGTGATGGAAACCACCAGACTTCTAAGTGTTGTTTAAATTGTTGGCTTGTCTTGGCTGACCTAATGTTTTATACTAGCGAAATGTTGTACTTTAATATTAGTTCAATATCGCTTCTCTAACTCTTCTCTATCAGCACTGACTTCTGAGAGTTAATGGCAAATGCTGCAGAAAATTCAGCATCTTCCTTGCACTCTGGTACTGGCAAACATATCTTTCTTAGGGGTTGGATGAAAGGGCTCTATATTTCTTGAAGCCTGTCCCTTTAAATTATTTCTGGTAGAGGTTGGATTTGAGATCTGCCTCTGACTTGCTAAGGGCTATTTATGATTTATTTCAACCTTTAGCTGGCTCTGGGACAAAGAAATGCACAAAGTTGAAAATAAAGAAAAGAAGACGCTTAATCCTCAGTGGTATTTCAGTGGTGTGGAACACCTCGACTCTTATGATGGGTGTGTTAATTTCCGATATTTTATATTCTTTCTCTCAAAAATAAAATTAAAATCCTTTATCATTTTTAATTAGAGAACAAGTGCCATCATTTTTTAAAGAGAACAAATTTAAGGCTGTGAGCCTTTTAATGCAGGCTGGTTCTCTGAGGTTTTTCTCAAGCACTGTGGGGAGATTTTAGAGCCAGTCAAATAATTTTCTTAGGCAAAGTGGTGATAGACCATGGTGAGATATGGGTGTCACTAAAATTTCATAGAGGTCGCTAACACACCAGAGTCACCATAACATTCGCACACTGACTATAATATCTCCAAAGAAGCATTTGCTGCCTATCATGGCTCTGAAGGGAGCTGTTTCAGTCTATCAATGCAATAATGTGCATGTTAAAAAGTCCCTAAATATGTATTTACAAGATAGTCAGATCTGTTTTGGTCTATTGGGTCAATAATCCATGCACTAAAAGTCCCTAAATATGTATGCACAAGATAGACAGATCAGCTTTGGTTCACTGAGTCAATAGCAAGTAGGCCTTTAAAAAAGGGCCTGTATAAGTTGCATACCTGGCATTTTAGCAAATTTAGAAATGCAGTTCTGTACATTTCCTGACTTTTAGAGGGTAGATTTATTATGTTAGTTTCAGGGGATGCCAAAAAGCTGTGTTTCACTCTGGTCCATGATATTTTGCTTTTGAAAAGTCAGAAGAAAAACCACTATAGCACAAACTATATCACAGCTCTGAGGCAAATGATGGAAACATGGGCATGTAGGCAAAGCCCTGTGCACAGGCGTGGATGCTGTCCTTCCAGACCATGTTTCTGCCCTTCCTGGATCACCATCCAGGTGCATCCACCTCTCTGCTCGCCGGCCTGTGCTTCCCCACTGTCAAACTCATTCCAGCAGCCAGGGGGAAATTGCCGGGCTTCAGCTCTTCTCCAGCAGCATCCCATCCTCATAATCAAAGAGAAAGTTCCTTGACATAAGCCCCTCCTCATTCTGACTTCACCTCTTGCCACTCTGGCTTCGGCTGTTCCTTAAACACGCCAGGCATGCTTCTGCTCCAGGTCCCTTGTACTTGGCCTTCCCTTCACCTGGAGTGTTCCCCACTCATATAGCTACATGGCTAGCTGTCTTACTTTCTTTAAGGTTCCTATGAGAGAGGTCTTCCCTGGCCACCCTGTGTAAGACAGCAACACCCCCTCCCAACACCACGTATTTCCTTTCTCCATTATCTATGCTGTTGTTCTCCAGGAGCACTTATCACCATCTAACATATAATGTCTTTACTTATTTGTTTGTTGTCCACCTTTTTCCCCTAGAGGTTAAGCTACACTAGGGCAGGACCTTCATCAATCCCATACTTAGGTAAGAGCCTGCCATATTTTAAGTGCTCATTAAATTTTGATGATAGAAACGAATGAAAGCAGAGGGAAAATGAATCTTCCTTCCACTTCCCTGATTGCCTGCTGATGTGTGTTCCTGTTTAAGTTGAGGAGAAATGAGTATCTTTTTTTGAGATGAAGTCCTTTCTTTGGCCATTAGACTTGTTTCTGGTAATCTCTAGGTGGCACAAAAGTGCTGGATGAAGGTACTCATCCATTGCATACTCAGAGCTCCTGGGTTATGACAGAGCTTCTGGAGGAACTGGGGTCATCTTAGCTGCTCACAGAAGCACTTGACCAGTCTGCTTCTAAGTACAATAGTGCATAAGACGGGACTGTCATTTCTAAATCCAGATTCCCACTTAATGTGGCATCCACAATCAGTTTTGGTGATAGCAGCGGACTAGATTTTACAGTCTAATCTGACATGGTCATGAAGGTTGGTGCCACTCTGTCACATAACTGTAACAGACTGAGGGATACCAGGTAGAACCATTGTTCTCTCTTAAATCTGGTACATTATTCTTAGGATATTCCCCTATGCCCTCACCTCTATCTTTAATCATGTAGAATGCTTTTAAATGCATCCTTTCTCATGATTGAAGCCTGTCACAGTAATTTCTTCCTTATTTAAATTTCACAGGAACATTCTTTATTTCCAATCACCTACAAAGATGCCTTCAGCAAGAGAATCACAGCTGACAGCAAATTAATGACTATGATGCTGTGATTAGTTGAGATTACAGGCTACAGAGGACCTGTCTGAGCATTTACCACTGTCATGACACTAACACTGGCATCTATTGGAGATTTATATTGTTCAAAAAAGAGGATGTGGTTCAGCTACAGTGAGCCCTATACAAGGGTACGAAAATTTGTCTGTATTGTAATACAGTCAATGATATGGTAATCAATTAAAGTAAGTTTTACTGTTAACCTGCTTAGCCTAAGCAAGTCTCTCTTCCACACTCTCCCTCCAAACACAGATTTATTTTGATAAAGCTTGAAGGCACAAACTAAATAAAAAGCTGAAGTGATCTAGGGAATTCCAGTCCCTAAGCCCAAAGTATTCATTAACAGAAAGAAAAACATCATTTAATCTTGAATTATTTGGATAAGAGACTCAATTTTGTATTTTATTTTTCATGAGAAGACAAAACTTAATGGATATTTCGGGGCACAGCAGTCCTTGAGTGGATTTATAAAATAAAACTTTTCAATCAACTTAATGGATAGGGGATAAAAAATTAGCAGGAACAACAATGCCACAACCATCTACTCAGATACTAGGTATCACTGCACATGCTTCCAAATTCTAGCTGAAAAGAAATAATGGTTTCTGTAATCCCCAGCAATGACTTTTGTGGGGGGGAAGATTTCAAATAAATGTCTATTTGCTTTAGGTGAGCTTCACTGAATCGGCCTTATTTGACTTCAGATTCTCCTAAGGGAAGAGATTTCAGGATTTCCTGGTTGTAAAATGGAAAAGAACATTTTGCTGAACTTGTATGACATCATCTAAAGCATTAAAAGGGCAGATAATCATGGGTTCTCTGCCTGTTTACCAAAGCTTCTTTACCTCCTCAATCTACTTTATTTCCAAATGTCAGAGTGGTTTGAAACCTTTCAAAGATTTATAGATTGCAGCAGCAGAGGAAATATTAGGATAAATCCTTTAACTTTTGTGAAAGCTTTTAAATAATTAATCAATGGGCTTTTGCAATTGTTATATATCACAGTACAGATACTCTAACGTATACTGTATGAAGGCTAAACCACAAAGGGCATTAGGCCATCTGTCTTTCTAGAAAGTCAGTGAAACTACAGTTTAGAGTACATACTTGAGTCACAAATAAAGAGAATATTGAATAAGTGAAGGAAAATATTACTAATATAATACAATCTAGTTTATCAGTTAAAATAAAAGTACTATGCAATGAATGAAAACACTAAGCACAATCTTGGTTTTAAATATATTTTTTTTTCAAACTCTACTTGGAAATTACCTTACATTATAGAAAGAAGGAAAAATGTAGCTGATATAATATTTATAAAAAGCAATATAAATGTGAGCAAATTATTTTCAAGCTTATATGATAAACATGTTTTCCAATATATTGAAAACACTAGAACCAAACACTAAAACAAATAGTACGTAAAAGAACTCACCCTAGATATGTAATAGACAAAATATTTCTTGCAGCAATAAATTAATTTTTTCCTTGTTAGGCACACCCCCTCCACCATAACTTCGTGAAGAAACGTGAAGTGGTGTGAAAACAATCTTACCTCATATTCAAAGTCCTCTGCTCTGTCTGCATCAGCAGGCAAGCTGGAAAGATACTCATTGTCCTCATAAAATTCATGCTCCATCGGATGAAGAGAATGGCAGCTATGGGGAATATAGCGATATGGCAGAAGCGGATCAAAAAGGTTGGTTTAAAGATTAAAACTGATTTTAAAATTTCACTTGAGTCTTCTCTGCTTTGCAATAAGACCTGGAGTGATCCAGCCTATAAGTGAACTAAAAACTCAGAAAGAGCAATAGTTTCCTTTCTCCTCTACAACTGGTCCATCAGTTTGATTTTCTGAGAGAATACCAAGAGTAGGGGCCCGTGGCCAGAACGGTGCTCTGAAGGGTCTGATGTGAGTCTATGGCCATACCACCCTGAACGCGCCCGACCTCGTCTGAAGGGTCTGATGTGAACCCCCTGTCAGGCCATGGTGCTTGACTGATACCACCTGGCCTGTGTTCATTCCACCAAATGTGACTTGCTCCATACATGGGTGTGTGGCCTTTGAGACCGCACTCTACCCAAAGAGGCGGATTTGGCAACAAAGTACTACCAATCTCATAATACACAGCCCCAAACTGTTTTCTGAATCTGTTTTCAAAAGCACCTATTTTTCAGATTGTAAAACATACTCCCATTACCCTCATTCCTTAAGACCTTGTTCTCCTTCATAATCACATTTCCCCCTTTTTGATGGAGGGTCCGTGCACAAATATTTATCAGTATTCATGGTGATACCTCACCGGAAATTCCTAGAAGCCATTGGGCTTCATAATCCCTTCAGAAAATTCTTGGGGATGGAGAGAAGATTAAAGGAAATGAGGGGGACCCAGGGCATTGTATTTGACTTTTATATATCTGATTTTGGACAAACATCTTAAATAATTCATAGAAGTGCTTTAAAATTACTGTATGGCATGATATGGATCCTATACATTAGACCATATGAATGCTAAGCACAGTTTAACAGTAAAGGGCATGAGGGCATCTCTGTGTTTAAAAAATCAGTGAAAAAGCCTCAATGCGTTTAACCAAGCTGGTGGCAAGTGAAACCTCTAAGTCCTGCCGATGTAGACATTGTTGAAAAACTGGAGTTAGTGGTATAAATTAGTTTCCTTATCTGCAGCTGAAAGGCAAGAGAGATGCATCCTGGTGCCCTCACACAGGCAACATAAATATCCTACCAGCCCCTTCTCAGTGCTATCTATGGCTGTCGTCCCCACAGAGGGTTAATCAAGTTGAACCCCAAATAGCAAAAGCCATATAAGCAGCATCTTTCTTACTGGTTCTAATAGGTAAGTCCTCCTTGCTGAAATTTGGGCTGGCTCTGAAAACCCTTTTGAGCTGGTCAACTGTTAAGCTTGCTGCTTTGGGCATCTGATGTGTTTTCCTTATCTTTCAGTTGGTAAGAAGGGAGCCCTGCCAGGAGGGGCACCTTATTCATTCAATAAACATTTATTGCCTATCAGATGCTAGGCCCAACGCCAAGTGCTAGAAATCTGTTGGTGCACAAAATCCAGTTCTTGCCCTATGAATTGGGTAGAGCAGTAAGCAGGACTGCTAATATGATGTGATTGGTACTTAAGGGGAGATATGGAGGCTATGACAGCATATGGGGGGATGTCCCTTCTGCAGCCCTAGGAAGTTTGCTAGAAGAGGCTGCCTCTAAGCTAAGATCTGCAGGACTTACGAAGAGCGACATAGGATACTGGTTAAGAGAGTGGGTGCTGGGGTCTGACCTCTTAGGCTCAGGAGCCTGGCCCTATCACTTCCTTGCTATGTGACCTTGGCCAAATTACCTAACATCTACCCATGTCCATGATGATAATAATACGGTGCATTCCCTCAAAAGATTGTTATGAGGACTAAATGCGTCAATGAATGAAAACTAATATTACCTGACAAGTGTCAGATTAGCTAATACAAATTAACTATTATTCATTCATTAAAGTATTTATTGGAAGGCTACCCTGTATCAGGCTGTACTAAAAGATATTATATATTTGCTTGTGTGTTCTTCATCTCCTCCTCTAGAATATAAGCTCCAGGAGGGAGTGACTTTAGTTTTGTTACTGGTTTTAAGCACGGCACCTAGTTCCAGTGCCTGATGAAGGGGGCTATTTAATAAGGAATACACGCATGAATGGAGTCATAAGCAAGATAAACAGGGCTCCTACCCTCCCAGGACTTGAAGTTTCAAGGAGCAGTTTCCAAAAACATGGCTGCACGTTAAAAATGCCTAGGGTGGTTTCTGAAAAATGTTGGCGCTCGGGCCTCACGCTAAAAACTCCTTTTTAATTGGCCTGAAATGGGATTCAGCCATCGCATTGATACTGCCTTTCAAAATCACCAGGTGATTCTAATGTACACCTGTGAGCCACTGGAATGAACCTAACAAAAGCCGCTAAAGGGCAGGGAACTGGCATGATCAGATCCGTGTTTTATAATGTGTCAAATGGATTGCAGTAGGCAATGAAAATGCAGTCCAAAGAGACTATTGTTCTTATAAATCAAACTCTCTACAATGTTTGAACATTTGCTTAAAAGCTCATAGAACAAAATGTATGGGGCAAAACACACTTTCTCATAAAACAAAACTGTACAAGTAAGATTATTTGAATAGAATATCTCTAACTCCCTTGAAATTAGGTAAAAATTGGGAAGAACTATTCATTTAATAGATCCTTATTTCACGGTGCTCTGTACTTACTCACTGACAGCCAGGATTTTTTGCTTACATCTCAATATATTGGGTAATTGCTTTCTTTGGAGAATTACACTTTAATTAAATTAATTTCCTAGCTTTTCCTTTAAAGAAGAGAAAAGCAAAAGAGTGAAAGGGAGAGCGGCAACTCACAGAGGAGAATATACTGCCAACATGCCACTTCTGTGTCAGTCTTAATAAGGTTTTTGGCAGCTTTGGTGAGAGAAGCTATTTCCCTGACCAGTGCTCATGAGTGGCATAAGGCTTTTGATGGCTGGAAATATGAAGATGAACTAATCAGAGCCAGAATTTTTCATCGCTCCTCAGCAAGCATGATTCCCAAAGTGAAGCAACTCTGTGGGTCAGGGAAAGTAGCTACCAGGGGCAGCTGAGAACTAATTGGATACGACACGGCAGAGACATTTTCCAAACAGAACTGAGATCCTGTCTCTCTAATTGTCAACTTTCTAGTGTGACTGATTCTCTCCAACCCCTACTCGACACGGCTGAATGACAACAAATAGGGCTGTGGGAAAAATGACAGGAAAGATACCTGTCTGAGAGCAGAAATGGACAGATGTCTGGCACTGGAGGGGTAGGTGGTCTAAGTTTGGCCAGAGCCATGATGTGTTCGAAGGTGATGTCTGTCTGAGTGCTGGCGTCCATGAGCTGCACTTCCGGGGCCGTTCCATACGCGGGTTTACTGAGAGGCGTCCGTCTTAGCACCTGGACCACAATGGGTTCCTTGGCATTTCGAAAAGCTTCCACTGCCTCTTCATGGGTGGCCTTTGAGAGATCCTTCCCATTGACCTGTGAAGATAAAAGCACATTTCTCATCTCAGAGGAAAGAACAGAGAGGCTGTCATCGTAGATTAATAAAGGGTGGGGAGGGTGAGTTTAAACCATCTCTGATACGAGTTTTGTAACGCAATATTTAATCAGACACTGACACTTATTGAACTCTTCACTAACATGCGGAGGTGAAGATTAGGAAAACAACTGCTTCTTGTTTCTTTAGAAGTACATTGTGAGGAACCTCAGTTAAAAACTTAAAATTTTTTTTATAATTTTTTTAACATTTATTTATTTTTGAGAGACAGAGACAGCATGAGTGGAGGAGGGGCAGAAAGAGACAGAGACACCGATCTAAAGCAGGCTCCAGGTGCTGATCAGTCAGAACACAGCTGACATGGGGCTCGAACTCGGGAATGGTGAGATCATGACCTGAGCCAAAGTTGGACGCTTAACCGACTGAGCCTCCCAGGCGTGCCTAGACTTAAAAATTTAAATAACACATCAGCCTCAGAAAACATTCACCCAAATCTTCAGATAGATCGAAATGTTAAGTATATCTTTTTTTTTTTTTAATGTTCTATCAATCTCTTGGTGGGATTTTCAATATTTAATCCAAGTCTTACTGGCCTGAAATCCAATTTTTTGGGTGTTGTCAAATTTCTTTCATTTTCATCACTTTTGAACCCAAGACCATGTCATTGTCATGTACGTTTTATCTTAAATCGTTGCTATTCTGTGTGGTCTGTGGACCCACAGCTAAGCATCGCATAAGAGATTATTAGAAATGCAGAATCCCTGGCCCTATCCCAGACCCGCTGAATCAGAATTGGCATATTAACAAATCCCAGCTGATTTAGATGCACTTGAAAGGAACACTGCTCTAAAACATGTCTGAGTATACTATGTGCAGTTGGATCCTCACCTGTGTTTATTTATACCCATTTATGACTCTCCAAGGTAGCCCTGGACAGAACAGAGAAATAGGGAACATTTACCTTTGCCCTCCACCAGTGCTTCTCAGCAGGGCCAACCACTGGCATGTGGAAGAGAAAAATCATTGTTTTTGTGAGACTCTCCCATGCCTAATTATCAAGAGCCAATGCTGTTCCCTAGCCTTTGTGGCATTCCAAACAGTCACACACTCTTCTAAACATCCTCTCCAATGGCAGTACAGATTGCTCTCAAATAGCTGTCAATTTATTTCTCTAAAATGGGTCCTGAGAGCAGAGTCCCTTAGTGGAAGTTGTGTTTTAATAAAGGACTACAGCATCAAGGACTACAGCACAATTCCCACCCTAAATGAATCAATAATGTTGGCTTTTGCAGATAGGAAGAGATACTTGGGGGCACAATACTGTGCTTAAAACCCCTGAAATTATACCATTTCTAGACAACTAAGCCACCCGCCTGGTGGGGAGGCTCTGATAACTACTATGCACCAGCAAATCCTTAGAGATCCCTGGGTGCCTTAAAAAGAAGCAAAGGGAGTCGCTGAGTTGCAGTATTAGAACAGTTGCTAACATCCAAATGAGCACATTCTCTCTCCCTGAGTAGACAAAGAATATGTATGCGCTCAGAGCAAGTATGGGGTGTTTGGGGGTAAATGATATAATGCCAGGTAGAAATCGTCATGTCATGTAGAGACAGGCTTAATGACCTGGAGGAGCTAATTTACTCAATGGACCCTGAAAGAGTTAATGTGCCTTCAAAAATGGAGCAATTAAGTTTCCTCACCAGCAAAATATGTCCCAGTACAGTTCTTGGATCACTAGTAAGAAACTTCAGTAAAAGATGTGAATGGTTACCTACCAGTGTGCCCACACTCTCTATTCTGTAAATTCTCACTCTGATTCTTTTCTCCAAGGACTAGAACGTGACTACTAAATTTTTATTGGTACAACCTTGGGATGTCTGGATGACTTTGAGCATATGGGAATATGTGAAGAAGGGACAGGTATGGACACAGGCATTCATTCTTTGAACTACTGGACAATGACACTTTGGGCTAGGCCCACCACTGTCTCCCCTGAGGATGTGTCATCAACAGATGATAAGTGAAGTCCAAGAATGGAAAAACACAGCCTAAAATCTAGCCTCTCATGTTGGCTGGTATCATCTTTATGTTTCATACTGTGGTCAGTATTTATAAGTTTCAGGGTTGTAGAAGATGATCCAATGGTAGGAAAGATTGTTCTACCAGGATCTATGTGGTAGGGAGAAATTGCCATTTGTCTCCAGGCTTCCCACTTTATGGTGTCCCTTCAGATTAGTGAATATCCATTTTGGGAAAGTCTTACACCCTTCCTACTCTGAAAAGAATTCTTGGTCATAATCTATTATCGACTACTTAAAACCTACTGGAACATGTAAATATGTTAAAGCTTTTCATTTAAAGTGACCTCCAACAGTGGTAGAATGAAAGAAGACAGTGCCCTTTTTGAAGGACTTCAAGCAGTATCTGAGGGTAAAGGGAAAAATAATTTGTGGCCAGGGTGTCTTCCAGTCACACATTAAATCCTTCTAACACATAAATTATGTGTCATTAAGTAGTAGACAGACTAATGCCATTATTCTATTTCTTCCTCAAGGTGTCTCAGCACATTGCCTATAATCAAGTCTTGGTATTCTGTTGTTTCTTGTTTTAGTGATTTTCGAAGCAAGAATAATTTTAAAAAGTGGGCTCCTTACTGATTCATGATTGTTTTTCGCAAAATCCAGAAAAGTATAACAATTTAAGCAGAAATATAAAAATTACTAAAGACTATTTTAGACTGTGAAATAATTAGTTCTTATTATAACACTTAGTATATGCAGACCATATTAGCGTTCTTACAGCAAGATCAATAGCTATTGATTTTAAGACCTGTCCATTCATTCATTTACAATTATAGCATTTATATGCAAATTTCATTTTTTGCTTTAAGGACAATCAAATACAATCTTCAAAAAGGACAGTCAATATAATCTCAAATATCTTACTTCCCCATTGGGAATGCTCTTTTCTTCCAGTTATCATGCAGCTGACCTCTATTTTCATAAGCTATTTAATATCTCTCAAAGTAAAGAAGTCTATGACCTTTAAAGGCTCTGTCTCACGTGATCTCTTAGAAAATGTAAGCACTGATGATAACAAAACACTTTTTTTCCACTTCACTTGAAGTTCATCAACATACTGTGAGCCTACCAAAAGGTCACCATTTTATAAATTATGCCTTTCACAACAACAAAAAAGAATAGCTTAATTGGGATTTTCTGGCAGTTGCTTTGCTCAGTTATCATCAATTACACTGGGGAAGAAGAACATGGAAGAATACCTAAGGTTTTAATACTGTAGAAAAAATTTTGTAGTCAATTAACAAATAAATCAGTAGCCACACTTCATTTTTCCCAAGTGGCTAGGTCCTAAACCAACAGCAAGGTATCTGATATTTCATGGTGCCACATCCTTATCATTCTATTTCATTTCTATCATTTTCTCTACCTCTCTCCTGCCTGTGCTTCCTCTCCCCCTCCCCCTTCTTTCTTTCTTGTCTCAACCTTGCTTTGGTACAAACAACATACAATTTTTATTTGTTTTGTGAAAATGAGACAGGAGATGGAGAAGCCCTCTGTTAACAGTGTCCCATTTATATAAGTAGCCAAAATGTTCGAGATGCTAAATAAATGGAGAGGAAAAAAAATCCTAAGAGAGTAAGAAAGAAGTTGATTTTCAGGACAAAAAAACTAGATAAAAAGGGTCGGGAGCAAAACTGATGGGAAGAGCAGAAAGGTAATTTGAAAATTAGGAGAGAAACTCATGGGGTTTGAGTTTGAAGTTTACATCCAGAAGGGTTTCAAAAAGGCTGGAGATTTGATTGAAACATGGCATTGAGAAAGAGACTTTTTTGTGAAGTCGTTGTTGAATGGCACAGGTGAGAGGTTAGAGTCATAATAAACATGAGAAGTCTACGAGATAATTCCCTCTATTACTATCACATCTGGCATTTTGATAATTGCGGCCAAAACAGATTTGGTTCTACCACTACTGAACAACGAGAGTATAGCAATTGGAGTATAACTGAAAAGACTTGTGTGATTGCTATTTGACAAAGGGCTATAGGTGCCAGAGTGGGACAAATGGACTCTCAAATGATGATTAAGCCACCTGATTTGAGATAGAGAAGAAACCAGCACACTGTGCATCTAGAGAGGTGATCAGAACCGGCCACAGCATAAGAAAGGAGAAGATGCCAATTGAAGAAGTTCTATAATAGAGACATGTGGTTGTCCTTGTAAATTTGGGACTGGAAGCACATGGAAGGAGCAGTCTTTTTTTTTTTTATTTAAAAAAATTCTTTTTTTTTTTAATGTTTATTTATTTTTGAGACAGAGAGAGAGACAGACAGAGCATGAGCGGGGGAGGGGCAGAGAGAGAGGGAGACACAGAATCTGAACCAGGCTCCAGGCTCCAAGCTCCGAGCTGTCAGCACAGAGCCTGATGCGGGGCTCGAACTCATGAGCTATGAGATCATGACCTGAGCCAAAGTCGGACGCTCAACTGACTAAGCCACCCAGGTGCCCCAGGAGCAGTCTTAATCATATCAAACTTGGAGCAGTTGTAAGTCAGATGAACCAACAAATAAACGAATACTTGGTGACTAAAAGAAAAACCAATCGTGGGAAACAATCTTCTGGGAAGGTTTTTCTCTTACCCCTGAACTTATAAGTTGAAAAATTAAGTGTCTTGTTTCTAAAAAGTTATTTTCCATTATACTGATAGGGATAAGTGGATAGGAGAAAGGCGGTCACTTTTCAGCAACCAATGCAAAAGAAGTGTGAATACATTTGTTGTGGCAGATGGGCTAATTAATCCATAAGCAACTTGTGAATGTTAAGTAAAGAATATAGCTTTTCATATGTAAACCATATCATGGCAATGTTTGATGAGGCTTCTGTTTAACGAACAATCTACCCTTTTGGATAAACTGCAAAATCTGGGCCACTTGTCAGCAACCTCCCCAGAGTGACTGGTGGCC